CAGTGCATAGCGATGCCGAGTCTGCCTGTGCCCTTGGCCCTGCGTGTACCTTCTGTAAGTTCTGCTTAGACCCCTCACCAGGGTTTATGCTCGGTTCTTTTTAATCACAGACCCTGGGAGCTCTTTATTGACTGTGCATACATGACCCTTATATTTCCAAATATTTTCTGCCATCCTGTGAGTTTTCTTTTTGTCCCCTTTATATCATTTGTAGTAGAAAAGTCTTCTATTTTGGTGAAGCCCAATTTATTAATTTTTGTCATGTAGGTTTTTGTGTTGTCCCTCAGAAGCCATTGCCTATCCCAAAGAATGAAGACTTCTGTGTTTCCTTTCTAGAGTTTCATTAGTTTTTGCTTTTGCATTCAGGTCTGTGATCCACCATGAATTAACTTTGTACATCGCGTGAGAAAGGGATCTTACTTCTTTCTCTTGCATTTGCATTTCCTGTGTTTCCAAAATTCTGATAAAAAGGCTATTTTCCCCCATTTTGTCATCTTTCCTCCACCACGTTTTAGAAGAGAGCATGGACGGAGAGAGATGCAAGGAGCTAAAGAGCTGAGTCAGGAGGGAGACCCAGGCCCACCCAACACAGGCAGAGCTGGGGACAAGGGGCAAACTGAGGCCCGGGCCATATCCCCGCCCTCTCCACCTCTGGCTGTCCTGCGCCTGTGCAGGAGTGCGCATCCTCAGCTGCACAGCACACCTCAGAGCCACCCTCACCCTGAGGACAGGTGCGTGAAGAGGGGCGGACAGGGCCAGGGCACACACAGCTTGGGGCTCGGGGCAGCTGTGCAGTGGTCACCACCATCTGGAGAGCTCCTCTGTGGGCAGCCAGTCTGAGGAAACAACTGAGGGCAGAGGGGCCAGGGGAGGGCTCTGGGGGTCCAAGGCCTGGGTGAGGACCCTTCTCTGTGGGGGGACACAGGGCCAACATGGTATGCTCTGTGGGCCAGGCAGTGCCCCTCACTGCCTCTCAGCTGGGTGGTGGGAAAGAAACCAGACAGCCCTCAGCTCTGGGCAGCTGTGCTCACTCCCCTGGGCTGCAGGGAAGTGAGGGTGAACCCTGCACCTGGAGGAAGGAGAGTGGAGGACGGAAGGTCCAGGGAGTGCACAATCACTGGGCTCACGTTCACATGAAGACCTAGCATCCACCACGGCAGGGGACCGCAATACTGATCATGCCCAAGGCAGGCTGGGAAGCGTTAACCCCACAGCTGCCTTGTTTATAGAAGCGAGTCTGGCCGAAGCCTGCGTGCCAAGGTCAGAGTAACTCGCACCCATATTCTGTTCCCACAACTAAAACCTTCTGACTAGAAGCACAGTGTTCTAGTTACAACCATATATTTTGTCTGTTCTGTTCCTAATATGAGAATGCTTTGTCTTGTCCTTTCTGAGCCTTGTTTCCATTAATTTCCATAGCAACCGCATGTAGTCCAGCCCTTGCACGTAGCTCCCCTTTACTCCAACTGATTGCCAATAAAAGTCAGTGCCTGGGACTGGCCAGCACCTTTGTCGGTTGCACCAGCACTGGTCATCCTGGCCCCCGCTTTCTCTCCTAGTTCTGTGTCTCAGTGTATTCTTTTTCTCAGGCCTGCATCGTATACTGGGCAGGTGGGGACTGGAACCTGACTGCAGGGGTCTCTGGCATACCACCAGCAACTGTCACCCTCAAACTCTGGGATGATGATGAACTGTCCCACCTGACACAGGAGATGGAAGTGAGCAAGGCTGTGCCTGACTGAGGCACGAGACCACAGCTCCTGCTGTCGAAAGTGAGGTCCTGTGAAGGTGGAACACAAGCGACTGCTTTTCCAAGTGACCAGAGGCAACTCAGGCATGTGGCTCCCGCAGTCCCAGACGTTCTCAGTAATGCTCTTGGGTCTTTCTCTCTGCTCTTCTGTGTCCAGCCTCTTCCAGCTCCTCCAGTCCTTCTGCTTTTGTCCACTCTGCTGGAGTATTTTTGTCTCCCCCTGCAGAGCGGACAAGCCACAGCTCTGGGGACAGAACTGGGCCACAGCACCCCCAAATCTGACTGTGGGATTCTGGTGACATTGCTTAGCCATTCCACACTTGAGTTTCCTTACTGGGGAAAATGCCTGTGAGGTTATTTCAGGGTGCTCCGTGGATGGAACTGAATTTGACCCCAAGGTCCAATGAGAGGCGGCATGATCGGTTCGTGGTGGTAGCAGTGGACAGATAAACGGCCCCTGGGGGAGCTCTGGGAAAGAAGGCGTTTTCTGCCCCCACGGGCTTGCTCTTGACCCTGTTGTGACCTGTGCAGGACCTCAGTGCTCCCACCATCCCTGCTTCCACAGCCAGCACCCTGCTCCTCCTGCCCCAGCCTGCCCTTCCCCACGCTTGTACCCCCTCCCTCATGGCTGGTTTTCTGCAATCCTCCTATCAGAACCCCCTCGGTGTTATCCAGGAGGTGCTGAGCAGTTGGGCACAATGCCAGGAGGGGTGAAGGAGTCAAGGGGACATCTTTGGAATCCCCTAGCAGCAGCAGATAGTCTCTCACACTGGATGGTGACCGTGGTTGTTGGAATCACAGAGACACAAGCAATGCATCATTTCCATGTTCTCTTCCAGGTTCTCCTGTTTTCTATAGTGGATTCTTTTCAGAAAGAGGTAAATGCTCCATGGCCAGTACCCCCGCCCACTGAGCACACCCTGCTCGTTTGGCCAGTCGTTCCTTCCCAACAAAGCTGAGTCCAAACTGTCCCTTCCAAAGGGGAGGAGGGAGGAGGACAGAAGTGCGTCCCCAGACAAGGAGCATGTCCACCCAGGGCCACCCATCGAGGTGCGTGCCCCTAGCTGCACCCGCCACCTGGCCCAGGACTGGATCCGAACAGCGCGGTGGGGGCTTCACAGGGTGAGAGGCCCCTGGTGTGCCCTGACCGCATGACCACCCTGAGACCCAAGGGACCAGAGAAGGAGCCATGTCTTATTAGCCAAGGTGAGGACATGTCTACACCAGGTTAAGAAGGTAGAATCCACGCGCAGGGATGTGGCACAGCACCTGCCTGGCAATATCGGGGTCCTGGGTTCAATTCCCAGTAGCAAAAAAAAGAAGGTAAAATCCAGTCTTAGCCACTTTTCCACTCCTGAGCCCCTGTGCAGGTTGAGACCAAATTAGTTAATTATATACAATGCTCATCACCCACAACCTAAAGAGGAGAGTTCTACATGCCTCACAGTTCAGAGGGCTCAGTCCATGGCTGGCCAGCCCCAAGGCAGACAAGGTATGCTGGCCGTGCCTGGAGGAGGGGAGCTACTCATGGCTTGGTGGACAGGAAGCTACCAGGGAGGACGAGGAGGAAGATAGACCCTTCCAGGCCATGCCCCACTGACCACCTCCAACCAGGCCCTACCTCCTAGCAGCAAGTCAGCTGCACACTTCCCAAATCCAATCACCTTCCACACGCCCTGCTTCTGGGCACATGAGGCTTTAAGGATACATCTGCATTCAAACCACATCAAATCCTGTTTTGCTTTTTCTGTGTGGCCACAGGGTGTCATCAGCACAGGTGTGTGGCTCCTGCCACAGTGCTCATCTGGGATGCAGAGGATCCAGGGAAGCTGCTGTCACTGGGCACAGCTCCTCTCTCCCTGGCCTGAACCCAGCAGTCCCATCAGCTCTGAAGCCCTAGAGCAGGCACAGGGGGCCCCCCAGGGAGCCCTCGGCCAGCGGGATCTGCCTGGCATGGCCATCCTGGGCTGGGCTCGGTGGTCATCACTACCCTAGTCAGGAAGCAGGCAGGGTGTGTCCTCATGGGGACACCACACCCTCCCACGTACACAGCTGATCCCAAAACACAGTGAATGTTTAGATTTTAAAATTTGTATTACTTAGTGAAAGACCCATTGCCATCAATCACTCTCAAAATCCTCCCTCTCACTTTGAATACATTCATCCCATCATCCTTGCCACTTTTTGAATCAGTTCTGGAGTCCTTAAAGAGAAGTGATCAAAAACACAGTGAATGCTGCTGCCGTGCGCCATCCAACAGAAAGGCAGCTCATAAAAACACGACGCTGTGTCCTCGTCCACCTTCGTCACCGGATCCGGCACTGTGTGACTACCGGCTCTTCCCCACAGTCAAAAGGACCATGAAGGGGAAACATGTTGAATCAATTCAGGACATCGAGGCAGCCAGGGCAGTGAAACTGAAGACGCTGAGGAAAGAGGGCTCCAGAGCGGCTGCAGGAAGCGGCGAGAACAAAGGGATGAATGTGTTTGAAGCGAGAGGGAGTGTTCTGAAGTGGATTCATGGCAATGTGTCTTTTCCTGTCACAATTCTTCTTAAATGCCAACATGCACTGCATTTTCGATCACACTCAATTCAGTACAGCTCACAGAACACATGCACAGCACACGCCCACCAACCAGGGCTTTCCCGCGCCCACAGTGCAGACTTGGGGTTACCAAGTAAAAGTGGGGAGCCAGCGGGCTGCCTGATTGCCTGCTCCCCAGGGGGGCTGTGGGAGGGGCAGGGCAGGGGCTGGGAAAGGCCATGTACGTGGGGCCATCATCTTCAGAGACAGTCTGGGTCCACTCAGGCCCCTGGCTCCTAAGTGTCACCAGGCACCTGCTCACTAGCAAATCCCCAGGATGGGAGGCAGAGGGCAAGACAGCTGCCGGGTTGGGCGGCGTGAGCTCCTGTAACGGGCAGGGCCCTCCCTGCCCGCTGCCTCTCCTGACACCCACAGGGACAGCTGAGAGCTCCTTCCCTCTCACACACCCTGCGCCGGCTGCGAAGCCCTCACCTCTCACCTCCATCTGCTTCACAGGCTGCTCTGTCAGATGAGCAGATGTGACTTTGCAGAGCTTACTTTGCCAGGTTAATGATCTGGTAAGTAAAATCCCTAAAGTGATTTCTCACCGTGGGTTACCAGAAAAGCCCACTTCTTCTGAGCTATTTGGGGATCCTTTGGCCAATGCCCCAGTGTGCTCAAGGGTGGTGGCCATCATGGAAGTCACTCCCAGCACATAGCCCAAGGAAGAAGCAAGCATCCAGCTGGGCTTGCTATTTTAATTGCAAATTTAGTGACAGGAGAGTCAAGGCAGGGACTTAGCTGTCCATTGTAAGAGGTGAAACGGAAGAAATAAAGAGACTCTGGAAAAAAGATGGAGCAAGATTTCTCTATCCTTGGGAGAGAAGGTAATGAGTGTGTGGAGGAGAAAAGGCCACAGGACAAAAGAATTTCATACAGGAGGCCTCTGTCTTTGATACCAGAGCCTTTTACAATTTTCTATTTTTATCAGCCTCATCAATATGAAGATAGCGCAAATATAATGGTACAATAGTCATAAATGTGGAAGGCTTTTTCTTTTTCAAATTTGGATCCCACTGCAAAGAACACACAAAGGAAAAGATGCAGGATAATTAAGGAGCCTTGAATTACTGAAGAGAGCCCAATATCCTCTTCAAGATTTCATTGTTGCTCTGAAAAGAGAAGAAAAGGAAAGGAAAGGATGTTGTGGGCCGGCAGGAAAACAGACCCCTGTTCCGGGAAGCACAAAGGCTGACAGCTGTCACACCCGCGTCTTGTACAGGCACCAGGCCCTGACCTGCATTTTGGCATGTGCAGTACCTTGGGCCTGCTCTGCCTGCAGCTCTGGAGCCCCACAGGGACTAGATCTTCCCTTTGCAGTCGGGCAAATGCCACACACCCACTCACCATCTCTAAGGTTTGTTCTGCTGGGTTTTTAGTGTGGGGGTGCATTTGGTCCACTCTTTTCTCAGAAAGTCTTCTTACATTTTTTCAACTTTGACCTGAAAGAAGCACAGGACACCCAGGTTTCTGATGTGAACAGAAGGTCCTGTGCCCCCAGTGTGTAACAGCAGAGAGCAGAGGCATTGATCTTGTGTGTGCCCCGCATTTGATACCACTCCCCACACACGCAGCCCACTGAGGCTGAGATCCAGGACTCTCCCACCACACGGTAACCCTCGAGGGCCCCAGGGATGGTCACACCTGCCCAGGTTCCAGGTGCAGGGGTCACTTGGTCATCACAGGGGACGACCTCTGGGATCTGAGAAATGGCTTCTTGTCTGAAGGGCACAGAAACAGATGGACACCCTAGCCCTGCCCAGCTCGGCGTGGAGGGGGAGGACCCTAGGCCCACATCCTGGTACTCAGGTCCCGGACCGCAGAACACATCCCAGACCAAGGGCCCCCTTGGCCCCGGGAAGGAGCAGCCCTTTGAGAATGGTTCTTCCCATAGAACACATTCGTAACATCTGAGTTTCCCTCACAGCACCTGCCGCCAGTCATCAGAGCGGCTGTAAATGCACCAGGGGACATGGGCTCCAGCCCAGAAGTACAAATGTCCCTGTAGCCCACCGGCAAGAGTGGATCAAGGCCCAAGGGTCAGCGTCTCGGCCTGAGTCTGTCTTGCTCGAGGAGCACCGTGACCGCGGGCCCACGCTCTGGCAGAAGGCCCGCAGTCGCTCCCTTCTCATGTGCAAAGGCCTTCAGAGGGAGAAGTCCCAGTGGAAACGCTGGACCCGCGCCTGTCCCCACTCCAGGATGGGAAAGCCAGGGCAGCATCAGGGCCCAGGAGACTCCCAAGACCAGTGCCACCAGAGGGCTGAGACCAAAGGGGCAATAGTTCCTACTGCCCTCCTGCCTGACTCACCTCCTGGCGACTCATATGTCGATGGCTCGCGGAGATGATACTGGGTAACTGCTGTAAATCAATCAGGTAGGAGTGAAATTACAGCTACCTACAGCACTAGGGCATGGTATCTTTTTAAAAATGTTTTCACTCACCTGTATCAACTGTGTATTTTAATGGGATCAGTGTGACATTGCCATACTTGCATACAGCACACACTGGCAAATTCAGTCCCCCTTTCCACTCCCACCCCAGCCCAGGTATGGGCTCTTCACTGGAGCAAGCTCACAGGTACATATGTACCCCTATCAGAGCTGGAAGACAGACACGAAAGAGTAAACTAGGAAGAACAGTTTGAGAATCCATGCCAACCAAACAGTTGAAATCTTCAGCAGGGAGAGAGAGAGGAGTTGGGCTACAGCATGGTGGGCTGGCTGGGCAGTGCACACTCCACTTCCTATTCCATGTAAACACATGCCAGACTTCAGTCACGTGTGCAGAACACCTTCCCGGACACATCTGAACTCATGTCTGCTGAACACTGGGAGACTGTGTAAGCAGAACACCGGGTAAGCAGGCAGGCGCTGAGGGGAAGGAAAAGTGGCCAGGGTACAAGGACCAGGGAGCAAGGCTACAGTGTGGGCTACCTCAGTGGTCCACAGAGGCAGGGCATCTGCACAGGCATCTGGGCAAAAGAAAATGGGAGTGTGTGGATTGGATCTGAACTGTCCCTCAAAAGTCTCATGGACCTGGCTGGAATTGGCAGATCACAAGATGTGACCTAGAAAGGTGTGTTGTCCTTGGCTCCTGCCTTTACTCTCTCTGCTTCCTGACTGTTATAGTATGAGCAGCTGTCCTCCCCTAGGCCCATCCACCATGGTGTTTCTGCCTTGGAGCAGCCAGCCATGGACTGAACCCACTGGAAACCATGAGCCAAATGAGCCTCTCTTCCTTTACGTCACGGGCACTGGGTGTCGTGTCCCAGAGACAAGATAGTGACTAACAGCGGGGGTGGGGCGGGGTGAGAACAAGGCCTTGGCCTGAATGTCCTGAACGTGGCAGGGACAGAGGGGCCAAGTTAGTTGTACAGTGGGTGTGAGGAGCATGGAGTCACAGGCGAGAGGGTGGATCGTGCAGGGCCTGTGAGCCAAGGATCAGGACCTTCCTAGCATTGAAAAACATATAGGAAATGGATAAGAACGTAGGAGACCTCAGCAAGACCTTCAGCCTCCTCAGTCACATCAGCTTTCCACAGATCGTTCCCTGGAAAACATCACTGTCCTTGTTCCTCCAAATCCACAGGCCCTAGGTGGCCACAAGGAACAGGTCACACCCACTGTGTTGTCTGAACACTATGGGGTCACACGAAAGCAACATCAAAACACATCTAAAAAAACCACCAGATATCCCCAAACCAAACAATACTTCCGAGCAACCCAGGGTCCAGAAAGAGCTCAAAAGGGAAACTAGAAAATGCTTTTACCTGAATGAAAATGAAACAGTGTATTAAAATGTGCAGGACACTGCTAACTGTCCCACTGCAGGACATTTACACAGGGGACTTTCAAGCACTGAGTCCCTATTTTAGCAAGAAGAAAAGTTTCAGATGCCACCCAAAGATACAAGAAAAATCAGTCAGCCAGGCGTGGTGGCATGCACCTGTAATCCCACCACTCAGTAGGCTGAGGCAGGGGAATTGCCACAAGTACCAGGCCAGCCTGGGCTACATAGTGAGTTCAAAATCAGCCTGAACTACACAGCAAGACTGTCACACAAAAAAAGAAAAAAGAAAAAGAAAAAAAAAGAAAAATTGATCAACTGTATCCCCAAAAAACACAAAGATAAAAAAATCAGAGTAGAAATCAATGAAATAGGAAAATGAAAACCATAAAAAAGAGTGCAAAGCTGAGTCTTTTAAAAAAAATCAATAAAACTGATAAATATCCAGGCCGATTAAAGAAAAAAATGAAAAGGCAGAAATGACCAGCGTCAGGCACAAGAATGGTGACAGCACCTGTGGGTGCTCCTAAGGGACACATTTGAAAGGTCTGATGCCAGTAGGCCGGCCAGCTGCACAGAGGCGCTCATTCCTTCAGACACAATCCCCCAGCCCCACCCAAAAAGAAGAGCACGCAGCTAGGGAGGAAACAGGTCACCTGGCCAGACAGCCTCAGCCACACAGGCACTCTCTGAGCTTGGAATCTCCCCTAGGAAATACGCAGCCTCAGTGGCCTCAGCTGATGAACTCGGGGAGACATTTAAGGAGGGGCTGCAATAATTCCAACAAACGACTGGAAAATGGAAGAGGAAGAGCTGCTTCTCCGCTGCAAGGCCAGGGTCACTGACACTAAAACCAGACAAAGACACCGCAGGAAATGCAAGCTACAGGCCAGCCTCCTTCTGCACGTGGATGCAGAATTCTTAAAATAATTCCCGGAAACAGTTAAACAGTGGGTGGAGTGCAGATTCTGTCTCAGCCCATTGTACAGCTACAGCAAAATACCATGCACTGGGTGATTTTTAAAGAAAAGAAACTGATTTCTCCCAGCTCCAGAGGCTGCAGGTCCAGGCAGAGGCCCCAGCACCCACCGAGGCCCTCTACCACATCCTCAACTGGGGCAGGCAAACTCCCCAGGAGCTGGGACACAGCACCATCTACTCCAGGGCAGGGTCCTCACACCCTCATGCCTCACCCTGAGCACCTCTCTCAACACTGGTGCGCTGGGGAACGACGTTTCCAGCACCTGAATTTCCAGGAAACATAAAAGATTGACACATCCCGGGCCCGGCAGGGCCAGCCCCAGGCAGGCTGAAGTAACCTCTGCCTGGGATTCACCCTTAGTAGCTGGAGAAAGGAAGCCAACTACTCCTCCCGACCGCCACTGAGAAAGAAACCATCAATAGGATAAATTCAGCCCCTATTTCTGATATAAACACTTAGCAAACTAGGAAAAGGAAACAGGCTCATGCTGACAAAGAGCATCTACGGAAGACCCCCCCACTCACACTTGACTGATTGGTCACGGGCTGAATGTTTTCCCAGGAAGGTTAGGAATAAGACTGAGATGTTCACACTTCCTCTCCACTCAGGGCTGTTCTGAGGTCACAGCCAGCCGCTGAGGCATGAAGTGGAAACAGGAAGCACCCAGACTGGAGAGGAAAGTGTCTAACTGTCCACCGATGACATGATTATCTCTGTAGAAAGAAACCAAACACAGACGCTCACTCATACACGTGCGTGCCCTGGGCAACAGGGTGCCGGCCTCTTTCAAAGTTAGGCCCCTCGACATTCCACTCTGTAAAAATCGCTGCTGCAGCCCCAGAACCAAAACGGCAAATCTAAAGGGTATGCGTTCACAGAACTCGCTTCATTTGAAGATGCTAAAGACGCTTTACACTCCTGCAATAAAAGGGAAATTGAGGGCAGAATGATCAGACTGGAACTGGAAGGACCCAGGGGTTTGCCTAACACCAGAGGCCAGCCATCCAAACCGTGTTCGTCAAGGGTCTGTCAGGAGACCACAGAAGAGACCTTAAGGGAATCATTCGATGGCTCGTCACTGACCTCCCAGGAAAGCGCCTCCTGCAAGGGCTTGGTTTTGTAGACTTTCACAGTGAGGAAGCCGCCAAGGCCGCTAAGGAGGCCATGGAAGACGGTGAAGGTGACGAAGACAAAGCTACCTTGGACTGGGCCATGCCCAAGGGAGAAGGTGGCTTCGGGGCCGCAGTGGCGGCAGAGGCGGCCGAGGTGGATTTGGAGGCAGAGGGGGGGAGGCTTTGGAGGCAGGGGAGGAGGAGGAGACCACAAGCCACAAGGAAAGAAGACGAAGTTTGACCGGTCCCTCTGTCCCTGTCTGTACCTGCTCATTGGAAAGAAAGGACTCGGGTTTTACTCTGATACCTGTCGATGCCAGAGCCTTCTGAGGGCCTTCTGAGACGGCCTGCGTCCTGAGGTTGACTTGGGAAGCGCAGATGACATTTCAGGAGAGCGATGCCCGATGCACCCTGTTGGTTTTGACTGGAGATTCATAAACTTTTTAAAGCAATGAGTGACAGAGCTAACCCTGACCTGTGAGTTTTGAATTTACATTGTTTCATCCCACGTACAAAACCATTTTTTTCCTACAAATAGTTTTCGTGTGTGTGTTGGGGGGT